ACTGCTGATGTCCCCTCCATGTCAGAGCTGCGCACGCAGCTGGAGAAGGGCACAGACGAGACCAAGGTTGACACCATGAAGCGCATCTTGACCATCATGCTAAATGGTGATCCTATGCCTCAGCTCCTCATGCACATCATCCGATTCGTCATGCCCTCAAAATCCAAGCACTTGAAGAAGCTGCTATACTTTTATTACGAGATCTGCCCCAAGCTAGATAGCAGTGGGAAGCTTAAGCAGGAAATGATCCTCGTCTGGTGAGCGTTCTAATTTCAGAGGATCACATACATCTGGTCAGCGCTGACTAGCGATTGTATAGCAATGGCATTCGGAATGATCTCCAGCATCCCAATGAGTACATCCGAGGAAACACATTACGCTTCCTTTGCAAGCTGCGGGAACCCGAGCTGATCGAGCCTCTCCTGTCGTCTGCGCGATCCTGCCTTGAGCATCGACATGCCTATGTGCGAAAGAATGCCGTCTTTGCCATCGCCTCGATTCACCAACATTCACCCTCCCTTATTCCGGACGCTTCAGACCTGATTGCCACTTTCCTCGATGGTGAGAGCGATACGACTTGCAAGCGCAATGCCTTTGCTGCTCTATCGAGTATTGATCACGACAAGTCTCTCGCCTATCTGAGCAATGTCTTCGAGGGCATCCCGAATGCAGAGGAATTATTACAATTAGTGGAGCTCGAGTTCATTCGCAAAGACGCTATTCAAAACCAGCAGAACAAGGTACGCTAGTAAGCTTTATAACAACTGTAGTATTCCAGCTGACATGAATAGGCTCGGTATTTGAGACTTATCTTTGACCTGTTAGAAGCTAACACTTCGACCGTCGTATACGAGGCTGCCTCATCCTTGACAACCCTTACTAGCAACCCCGTGGCTGTCAAAGCTGCTGCTGCCAAGTTCATCGAGCTCAGCATCAAAGAGGCAGACAATAATGTGAAACTTATCGTTCTTGACCGTGTAGATCAACTCCGCCAACGAAACGAGGGGGTTCTCGACGACCTCATCATGGAAATTCTCCGCGTCCTCTCAAGCCCTGACATCGACGTGAGGCGGAAGGCTCTTGGGATTGCCTTGGAAATGGTATCCAGCAAAAATGTTGAGGAGGTCATTTTGCTACTGAAGAAGGAACTCTCAAAGACTGTCGATCAGGAATATGAGAAGAACGCCGAGTACCGACAGCTGCTGATTCAATCCATTCACCAATGCGCCATCAAGTTCTCTGAGGTTGCAGCAAGCGTTGTTGATCTACTAATGGACTTCATTGCGGATTTTAGTAATACATCTGCTGTCGATGTTATCAGCTTCGTAAAGGAGGTTGTCGAAAAGTTCCCCAAATTACGCCCTTCCATTGTCGCACGATTAGTCGATACACTCAGTGAGGTCCGGGCAGGTAAGGTCTACCGCGGGATCGTCTGGATTGTTGGCGAGTACTCTCTTGAAGAGACCGACATCAGGGACGCATGGAAAAAGATACGCGCAAGTCTAGGCGAGATACCTATCCTGGCATCTGAGCAGCGTCTACTAGATAATGTCGACGGTCAAAATGAACAGGAGCCGGAGCAAGTGAATGGCCATTCCAAACCCGCACAGCCTTCTGGCTCACGGCGGGTTCTAGCAGACGGTACATATGCCACCGAGACGGCTCTAACGAGTGCGTCTACCACTGCTGCAAGATTAGAGGCTGTCAAGGCGGCACAGAAGCCTCCATTACGACAATTGATCCTTGATGGCGATTACTACTTAGCGACCGTCCTCTCTGCCACACTAACTAAGCTAGTTATGCGTCACTCCGAGATTTCTTCGGACAAGGCACGGACAAACGCCCTCAAAGCTGAAGCCATGCTGATCATGATCTCCATCATCCGTGTCGGACAATCTCAATTCGTCAAGGCTCCCATTGACGAGGACTCTATCGACAGAATTATGTCCTGCATTCGGTCTCTGGCTGAATTCTCCGAGAATAAACAGCTCGAATCTGTTTTCCTCGACGATACCCGGAAGGCCTTCCGGGCTATGGTTCAGGTTGAAGAGAAGAAGCGAGCGGCGAAAGAAGCATTCGAGAAGGCCAAAACAGCAATTCAGGTTGATGACGTCGTCCAAATCCGCCAGCTCTCCAAAAAGAATCATGGAGAAGGTGCCGACGAGATTGAACTGGATCTCGAGAGGGCCACCGGTGGCGAGGCCACGTCTGAAGATCTTACGTCGAAGCTCAGTCGCGTCGTTCAGCTTACTGGCTTCTCTGACCCCGTTTATGCCGAAGCCTACGTCAAAGTACATCAATTTGATATCGTTCTAGACGTCCTTCTAGTCAACCAAACAACTGAGACGTTACAGAATCTCTCAGTTGAATTTGCTACTCTAGGTGATCTCAAGGTTGTGGAACGACCAACAACACAGAATTTAGGCCCGCATGATTTTCACAATGTACAGTGCACTATCAAGGTCTCGTCGACCGATACGGGTGTCATCTTTGGAAACGTCGTGTATGATGGTGCCCATAGCACTGATACTAACGTTGTCATTCTCAACGATCTTCATGTCGATATTATGGACTATATCCAGCCTGCTACGTGTACAGAAACACAGTTCCGCACAATGTGGACCGAATTCGAATGGGAAAACAAGGTTAATATCAACAGCAAAGCTAAGTCTCTTCGCGAGTTCTTGGAGCAGCTTAAGGCTTGCACGAATATGAACTGTTTGACACCCGAGGCTAGCATGAAGGGCGATTGCCAGTTCTTGAGCGCGAACCTATACGCCCGAAGTGTATTTGGTATGTACCTGGTGTTATGATAGATTTCAACGAAGACGCTAACACAATAATAGGCGAGGATGCTCTAGCCAACTTGAGTATAGAAAAGGAAGGCGAAGACGGACCCATCACAGGCTTTGTCCGCATAAGAAGCAGGTCACAGGGTCTGGCCCTGAGTCTTGGGTCACTAAAGGGATTAAACAAGATCGGAACCGGTGCCTGAGTACCGCGAGTCTTCATCTCCAAATATCGAACGTAGATGCAACGCATACTATGCGCGGGCAGAAGAACGAGTAATTGACTAAGCCAATGTTCAAATAGATTCATGAAGGGGTGTGCCAGGGAGAGGGAAAAGCCTTGATATCCAAGCGCGAGCATACCGAGCTTATGGAAGCTCAGGTCTTGACAGCATGATCTAAAAAAAATAGCGGAATGCTAGCTTAGCCCGGGATAATCTAGACAATGCAAATTATTCTCATCCATTCATGCTCGTTCTAGAAGAGGCAAACCACATAATGCCGGTGACTAAGCAATGCTAACTTTGTCCTAGGTCGCCTTGAAGATATGAATGTATAGTATAGTTCCAGTTCTACGCCTAGAGTCGTATTCTAAACTGAAAGTGATACCATTCGTTTTTATCAATAAAACTTGTGCTCACTAGGAACATCAAAAGGTAAGTAGATATCGAACCCGGTACGATTGACTTCTTGAGAGGGTTATGTTACATTCAACAACGACTAGCGGTAGACTAGCGTTAGATCAGCTGACCACCTGTAATTACCTAGTTGGCTTAAAAGGGTAATAAATGAAGACCGACTTCATCTGACGTGAATCTTTCGTATGTTGGGTGAATACAAGATCTGTGTAAACCACGTTACGATCTGGCTACTTAAATTCTCTAGAACCGAGTATCTAAGGGTCGGAGGTACGTACAGTTCGTAAATCCACTACTCTAGGTTTAAACAATATAGCATACCTAGGGGTTGTAACACCTAGATAAATAGGAATGCTACGACTATGCAGCACTTAAGTCTAATCGATTACTTAAGTAGAATCTGCAAGTCGAATGGTCGTATAAGTGACACTGCAAGCCATAAGCAAGAGACATGGTTGGCGGGTTATAGTGTTATTTAGAAGCGAGTACTGCGATGTGTGGAAGGCTAGAAACAGCCGAGCAATTGGATCATTTGATATAACCGCCTCCCTACCTCCCTCTTTCTCGAGGTAATACTGGTAGCCTTATATGTTCTACTAAGTTCACAGCATATCCTGGTTACCTTAGAGTTTGTTAATAAGGTATTCTATGTATAGGAGCCATGGTGCTAGTCGTCATCCCATCTACTCTCAACCCAAAAAAATACACCGACAGTTGCCAATCAGCCTACAATTAGGAACTAGCGATACGGATTATAGTATTAGTTTTAACTTGCCGTATGTCCACAATATATTGGTAAAACATCTACCACATGGGCTGCCCCTATAATGAATGAACTATCGATCATTCTGGGCAACATAGAGACCATCAAGGCGCTGTGATACCTACATCATCGAATTGAAATCAAGAAGCCCTGGGTTCGGCAATGGAAAGCATTCGGTCATACAATTCCTCAACATTTCATCTGGGTTCGATGACGATATCATTATTCTAACATCCCTCACCCCTGGACGTATCTGTCGCAAATACATCGGCGAACCACCTAACTATAGCTATTTACGCTTTAACTTTGGCGACTCACCTCTAATCTTTACAGCTTGGAATCTAGCCTTAGGAATAGGAAAGCCACCGATGAACGAAGATGGGACATCTTGGTTGGATTTACTAGGCTTAGGCTCCTCTCCGTTACTACCCCCAACACTACGTATCACGATACAGAACCACAGAGCTACCGGCTACACTCCTAGCAAAATAAGAAAGTTATTAAGTCGGCATTCTTATCAGCCTTCAATTGCTCATATGAGCACGACTAGGACCAAAATACTCTACTATCTACCATAGTCATCTCGGCACAACCTGAACCCCAACAGCACCTTATGTCCCACAAGGAGTATGAGAGGAGATACTAGCCTTTTTTTCAAGATAATACCCGCTACCTATGGGAATAACTTGGCATGCAAATATGTAGATATGGGATGGTATTGAAGAGAACTAGAAGCGGAAGGTTAAGATCCCGTTGGTACGAAACGGCTTTATGACACACCTTAAGCCATATCCATAGCTCATTCGATATGTCTTCGTAGCGCAGTTGGTTAGCGCGTTGGTCTCGTAGGTTGTTCTATGATCTAGTTCTTAAGCTAGGCTATCCAAAGGCCGTGAGTTCGAGTCTCACCGAGGACACTTCAGACACTTCAGTGAAGCTATGCTAATATCTTTTTATTTTTTTGGTCATTGAAACGAATATATATCGTGTTTATTTATCCATTTGTATCACTATAAGTAGTCTTAACATGGAGTAGAAGTCTTCTTGTTTAGAGCAAGAAGAAACTTGGGTCTAGGTTAGAGACAACCTACGACGAGAGCGATGCCTCCCTCCAAAATCTCCATCATTGAATGTCCTGAAGACTTGGAGGTAAGCTTAGGACAGACGAAAGAACCCAATTTGATCATTGTAGATCTCTTCGGGTCTTGTCTTTAGCGTACGAACTCGATCATGTTGTTAGGGAAGATAGTATCCTGCTCATTGTCAACATAGGCCCCAGCATCTTAGGAATTACGAGAATAGTAGGTGAAATCGCCTCATGTAGATCGTATCGATGAAGCCTATTGGCCGGAGTGACGGACACGGCTGGCACAGCACGGAATGAACCAATTTAGGATTGCGGGATCGTGTATGTATGGCACTCATCGCCAATGACCACACTCAAAGATACCGTATAACTTCATTTAAGCTGTCTTTGTAGGTCGCGTATGTCGTAAATATCTATAACCTCATATTTCCCAGCCTGGGTCGGGCCAAGGACGTCGTCAACCTAGCCACAGCCAATCAATCAACCTGCGCGGCCAGCCCACGTAGTCAACCTAGTCAAAAATACTAGTTATACAATCGACGCGGTTGGGTATCGGGTATTCTTGGTGCGCCTGTATTTCCTTTTTTTAATCGGCACCGCAGCATGGGTTTGCTTAGATAGGGCTCGAAGAAAATACTGTATCTAAGAACAATGTTATCATCGGGTTTGCACTCGGTGTCCAATAAAACGAAGTTGCTATTATCGCGGAGGAGGTCGGAGCTACGAACTCGCTTAGCAGATGTCGAGGTCGCCACCTCGCCTTGCGCGAGAGCCTAAGCACCACTCATTTCAACGCTATGTGTGGAGGCCGCGGTGCTCTTTCGTCTTGTGGTTATAGACGTTCTATCCAAGTAGCTTTAGCTAAGCAGTAATGCTGCTTTATAAGGAAGCGATGAGGAGGGTGATGGAAACGATGAAAATGATGCGCGCGGTGCGCTGGCTAGGCGCATAAATGGAAACCCCCTAGTCGGCGACTACTTCGTCGATCCTAGATATTGAAACCCCCTCCATGTATACACATGGATGAATGCAAACCAAGAAAAGAGGCTGAGGCGTAACATCAGTGTCGCTGAGTGGGTGGCATTTATACGTGACAGCGCCACCATCTCGCAGTGGCAGTAACGGCGCACCAAAAGTATCTATGTACTTGAGAAAGGAGAGGCCCCTACACAACGGTATCCTACGCTGTGCCATTCATTTATTCCCAAGTTTAGGTCTTCATTATAGGAAACATTGAATGTCTCGGCTTTCACACATCAACCAATTCAGCCAATAGGTGCTATCCAGTAGGCATCCGCCTATAGATACCCCAATTCCATACGAATGAGGTTAGTTGCCGATTGCTAGTGGAGATCTAGTAATTAGGTTTGGAAACTGTAACAGTAGCAACCCAGTAGCGACCCGCATTATTCCACTATATGTAGCGTTTCGTACACGGTAGAGACAGTGGGATTCTCCATCCCATCTACATATTCAATACAGACTACGGTATCCACCATATTTTGGACTGCACCCTTACAGAAACGCTAGGTTCAGATAACCCAAGTTGTTCTCAGAACTGCAGGCGATCATGGAGCAGTCTCTTTGTATAGTGCTTGGAGGCGCTGGCTCAGTAGACTCATGTGTGAGGACCGTCGATATGACTCATTCGTGTGCTTCATGACCCGGTGAAACTGTATATGTATGGGGTGTGGTGGCGTCAGACAACGACTAGCGACATACGACACAACACCCGCGCTGGTGGATTCACGGCGCGAGAAGTTGCCTCCTTTTATCGTGCTTGTTCACATTACATCAGACGGCACAAGCTGCATAGACTAGTTGTAACACTCCATTCAAACACCCGGCGAGTTTGGCTCAGACTGGCTATTACCCCACTCCTCAAACTTTGCTGAGGAGTTAGCATATGAAAAGTCATGGTAATTAACTGATTGGTTAGTGCTAGGTCGAGCAAATACTATCAAGACTACCTATAAATCATGGGGCACACGAAAAAAAAAAAAAAAAAAGGAAAGAGAGGCATATAGACAGATATATTAATAATATATACAAGACAAGAGGATAAGGTTACAAAAAACTGACAGGGTTTATTGTGATAGATGAGAATAAATAGAGAACCTATAGTAGACTCAGGAGAGCCGAGGTTAAGCTAAGTGAGATTAGATTTGGGGCGTCAGGCTGGAGTTACTCGATTACCTAACCTAGGTAATCATGTACGTAGGAAAATATTCAGGTAATGGAGTACCTAAAGTACGCACATACACTACTTCATGGGTGTATGTAACTGTTAAAATGTCGTTTTATAAGTGTAGATCTAGACGTCCGCCTCCGCATATCGTCAGCCTGCCTCAACATGCATTCAAGCACAATCAACTCGGCAGATATAGCTTGGGACATCTTGGCCTAGTGTACTACTATGTACCTAGTCAGTATACTAGAGTTTCTTAGGACACGCGCCTACAATAACAAACATCAACAATATTGCACAGAAATCGCTATCTCGTGGTGCATACCTTGATGACGCATTACTACATGCTTCCCAGGTTAAATGTCGTGGTTAACGGGTCCGAGTATCAATTGGCTGAGGATGCCTCAGTACCGCCTAGAATTCCCTCTCGTGGATGGACTTTAAAAATAAAATGCCGCAAGAGAATCAATGAGCGAGACTGATTGAAACAGTCCCAATGCCTATCCCGTGCCGATCCTGTGGGTTTGCTACTCGCTTTCCTGTAGAGTAGCGGGATGACTAGACTCGGTGAGCGTGGTTTAACAATGTAATGCAACACCTTAACGTCGTTACACTTACCTGTGAGCAAACTGTGAGTTGGCAGGGAGTAAAATATCTACAGATGTAGTGTATGTAGGTTATATGCCTCAAAAGCACAAGAACGACATGCAGATAGATTGGTGGTACATCATTGGGTACGACCCCCGACTTTCTTGACTTTCTTCCCCAGTCAGCACCCAGTCTTCTGCCCAGTTTTCTGCCCAGTCAAATCACAAGTATCAACATCTACGGGGTATACTACTACAGTAGTAAGTACTGTGTACCTCTTAAAAAAGTAGGTTTAAGAAATTTGGATTACTTGACAGGCTGTGCTGCACTCCGCGATCAGATGGGACCAAGCTGGGGACCAACACCGGGACCTACCTAGTCCCCGCATGATGCATATGCGCTAATCCCCCGCATGTCTCATCGTAAGAGCTCGGCTCATACTTGCCCGTTGCGTCGTTCACAAATAGCCCTCATACCGTTCGATGCCTAGAACAGTATCAATGACCTTCCGTTGTGCCGAAGGAATGTGTACCTACACTACTCGATGACTACCTCCATACCTACTCAATCTAGGCACAAGAGGTCAGCATTTTAACAAGGTACGCATTGTATCTGATGAGTACCCCGAACACAGAAGACACGGGAAATTTATTTCATCAAAAAGCGGGGTGGAGACCACATGCATTAGGGGGCACCTGGTAGGCAGGTAGGCAGGCAAGAGGTACTTAGGTCTGCAGTAGTGTGTATACATCGTACCCTTTCTCTGGGGAGTTTATAACAAACACCCTTATTAATATCCTCGGTTCCAAATCCTGAATTTTACTCCATCTTAGATCCATCATCTCCCTCACAACTTATATTTAGGGTTGAAATTACTTCTACTAGTACATCTCTCTACACTCCACACATATACACCAGTCCTCTCTCTAGATCGTTCCACAACGAGGCAACCAATCCAAACCTCCAGTCACAACGGATAATCAACTACATCGGCGACTTACACACAACTCGTACTCTTAGTCGTATCAACACAACGCAAACCTCGATATGTCTCCAAGCTCAGCAGCTCGTCCCTTCTCGACGACTTCCCATGTTTACCCGAGCCATCTACCCACCTTGTACAAATCAGGTCGATTGGAGAAGAAATTGTAGGACGATCCCGTCACACCACCGTCAGACAAACAGGAAATACTTACGAATATTGTGTGATAGTGCCACTGCAACTGCTGCTGTAGTAGGCATAGGTCAGTAGTACCGTCTAATAAAGTACTATGTCAATGTCCGTCTAGACTAACGTATGACTATAATAGGCTACGGAATGGCCAAGTATAAGGAGTACCAGGAGCAACAACAGTATCACAATGCTGAGACTGAAGCGGCCTCTCGGCGGCAGTCCGAGGCTATAATGGATGCCTACGCTGACCGGTCGAGCCTAGCTGAGCTCGAGGCCGCCGTCAAGGCCTATGAAACCCATCGAAAGGGCTAGTTTATCAAAGTCGTATTTTCGCGCAGAGCCTTAACCGTGGGCACCTACGGTTCTCAGCTGTAAACCCACAACGCTTGTTTGGGGAGCACAATAACGATTTACGACTTAGACGGCAAATAAAAGATCACAGCGTGTGCTTTAGGCGGTGCACCCAAACCCAGAGTCATTTCCGACTCGTTGAGGATTATTCCTCGTGCATCGGGAGCATTCGCGAGGGATCCTTCTCTACTCAATCCATGAACCCATTCAACCACAACATACCTCGGTTAATTTTAGCCTGTGATGGCGTCGGCTTTGGAAAGCCTTAGGGGGGAGTCCCGGGAACTTACGGGCGTTATGGAGCATCGGATGATATTGAACATCCGATACGGGACGTATGATCGGGGACGACCGGCTCCTCCGAAGAGCATTCGAACTCGCAGAAAAGTCATGCAGCTGGTGTTAGAGAAAAAAAAGAAAAATCGAGAGGCCCAAACACGCCAATCGATAAAATGAGCAAGTTCTCGTTGGTTCAGCATTGGGCTCTGCAACTTGGAGAGTGTGTATGCCTAGGTATAAATATATATCC